AACATTACATTTAGCAGGTTTTCAGGCTTGCTATCTTATCTTGGCTAAGCGGTTCATTTTACATCTTGTATTTTCCCTGGAATTTTTGTTTTGTTTTCTTGTTATGATATTGAGGGCAGCTTTTGGCCCATCTGCTACAATCTATATAATGTTTCATTTTTATGAAGACTCTTTGCTGTTCCCTTTCACCCCTCCGCTCATTAGAGAAATATTTAATGACTATTCTCCGGTGATCTAGCAGTCCCGCTGCTGAAAGGGCCGGGTGCAACGGTCCATCCATTCTGCTATAATTGGGGAATCATCAAAAGAAGAGGAGCATCTTCCACAAGTGCACACTGGGCATGAGAAAACAAAAGGAGCAATATTGAATGACAAACAACTTGGAATAAAATCCTTTGATATTATATGAGAAGGAAACAAATGGTGTTATGTGCCTGTGTTTGTGTGCACGTTTTAAAGTTTCTAAGATCCTCTCATGCAGACATTTATACCAGAAAGACTTTGCCTTTGTTTTCCATTTCAACGAGAACAAAATAAAAACTGTCTATAAAACAGTTTTTATAATGCCCCAATAATTTCATTTTTGCAAACGTTCTGTCTATTTCCATCCCCCTTTCAAATAACATAATAATAATAATAATAATAATAATAATGCAGGAAGGCTCAGAATAGCAATGCTGAACATGGTTGGAGGCATGGGGAGTCCATCCTTGATAATAGAAGGCATCACACATCTGGCAGAATCTGTCCAGGAGAGAAACATGGCATAGATAAGATGGAGAGGTCAGTCAGTACATCCCAGGGCATGGACTGAAGGGATATGATGTAGCAAGTGTGCTTGAAGCTAAGCAGGTCTGGAAATAGCACCTGAATGGAAGACCACACAGCCCTATTCAAGTAGTTGTATACCTGAAGGAGCATCTCCATCCCCGTCGTTCACCCAGACACCGAGATCTAGCTCCGAGGGCCTTCTGGAAGTTCCCTCACTGCAAGATGTGAAGTTACAGGAAACCAGGCCTTCTCAGCAGTGGCGCCCACCCTGTGGAACGCCTTCCCATCAGATGTCCAGGAGATAAGTAACTATACAACCTTTAGAAGACACCTGAAGTCCTGCATAGGGAGGGTTTTAATGTTTAATGTTCTATTAAGTTTTTGTACATGCTGGAAGCTGCCCAGAGTGGCTGGGGCAAACCAGTCAGACAGGCGGTGTAGAAGAAGAAGAAGAAGAAGAAGAAGAAGAAGAAGAAGAAGAAGAAGAAGAAGCCTGGACATGCAAAGGCCTAAAAACCTTGAAGCAACATCTCTGAGTGTGCATGCTCCTCTTCAGACCTTTGCACTTATGATATGAATGCCATGATTGTGAGGTGGTTTCTTTTAAATGTTATTATTATTATTATTATTATTATTGTTATTGTTATTATTAACGCACAATGTATTAAGTAGTGGGTGGACATAGCAGATGACACAGAGATTTCTCCAAGTAGTTCTTTATAAGTAAGCTGGAACTGAAGTGAACAGCAAACAGCTCAGCCGGCCTGCTTTTATAGGCAGCCGGCTGTCAACATCATAACAACAACAAACCAGGGTTTCCCGCCTAAATTTACTGATGTGGACCTGAGTGAAAACTATATACACAATACCCCTGGTGGCCAGGGTGAGAACTTCAATACATAACACAATGAAAAAAGCCAAACATCAAAACTGAACAAAAAACAAGTAAAAATAATAATAAACGAAGTAAAAATCAACAACAACAACAACAAAACAAAAAGCAAATAGGTTTTTTGACTATGGACCTGACCTCCCATCTACTGCTTAATTCAATTACATATAACTTATTGCCAGTAAAAACTATTATTATGGTTTAACTGATTCTTAGTTTGATCTCACATCATTCTTGATACTACTACTGAAATTTGTCAAATGCTGCAACAGAGTTTAAACCTCTGTAATTGTTTTTCAAATATGTTTTAAAGACTTCCCATTTTGAAACAAATACCTGTTTTGGTTTATTTACAATACTTGAGCCGTATCCAACCTGCTTGGACACTCTGACATACATTCTGGAAACGTATGTCCAAATGCTTGGTTCTGGACTTGAACTGTCCAGATTCTGCCAACTGTTTGTCTCCCCAAACAGTTATGGGCAAGTAACAATCCCCACAGATATCTTGGATCAAGCACCGGTAGAAGTCCAACTCCCTGCACAAATCCGACAACGCACTGAGCTCAGCCTCAGTGGAAGAAAGTGCAATAAGACTTTGCTTCCGGGACTTCCACCCAACCAGGGATTCCCCGAACTTTACCACCAGCCCAGACACAGACTTCCTGTCCCCAAGAGATGCCCAATCGCTGTCACTCCAGCACGTAAGCCGTGCGTCACCTTCAGCTGACAACGTGAGGCAAAACTCTTTGGTATCCTGCAAATACCTCAACACTCTCTTGATGCCTTGCCAGGCATTCACACTGGGCTTTGTAGCCTCCCTGCTGAGCAGATTCACAGCAAACGCTATGTCTGGTCTGCTCCACTGAGAGAGATACAACAGACTCCCTAGCGCTGACTGAAACACCTCAGGGTTTTGGAACTCAGAACGCTCCCCAAGCTGACTGTCCTTCACAAAGTTGGTCTCCATGGGCGTTCTGACCCCTGCACAGTCAGGCATCCGGAACTTCTCAAGCAACTGCTCAATCTTGCTTTTCTGACTGAGCAAGAAACTCCCGTTCTCAGACCTGTCTATCCTAACGCCTAGATAAACCTGAACGAGACCAAGGTTTTTGAGCTTAAACTTCTTACCAAGCTTTTTGGCAAAACCTTGCACCTGTCTACTTGTCTGTGCCATGTACAGAATATCATCTACGAACACCAGAATTGCCTCCTGTGTCTCTTCTGACCCCTTCAGGTACAGGCAACTGTCTGCAAGACTCTTCTGGAAACCCAAACTTTCCAGAGCTTCATTCAGGCACATGTTCCAATTTCTGGCTGACTGTTTCAAATCATAAATTGACTTGTGCAGCTTCCACACAACACCTGGCTCATTGCCCTCAAACCCTGGAGGAGGTAACATGTACAGATCCTCCTTCAGATCCGAGTTCAAATAAGCTACATCCACATCAAAGTGGTGCACTTGGTGCCCTCTTTGAGTAGCTACTGCTAAAAGCACGCGCAGAGTCTCATTCCGGGAAGTAGGAGCATACACTTCGGTATAATGCAGCCCCCTTCTCTGCGTGAACCCTCTGGCTACAAGCCTCACCTTATACTGTGGTTCTCCAGACGCTGTGGGCTTAATCCTGTAAACCCAATGACAGCTCACAGCCTGCTTGCCCTCTGGCAGCTTCGTGGTGGAGAACACACCTAAGGACCTCATTGAGTTCAACTCCTTTCCCATTGCCTCTTGCCACTTCCTGGCTTCTTCTTCAGGCAACTGTTGAACCTCCTCAAAACTCTCTGGTTCGCACTGGGCTAAACCAACCCACACGCTGGTGACCTCAAACCTCTCAGGTGGTATCCCCTTTGTAGTGCGTGTGGAACGTCTGAGCACTGTCTCAGGTGCTCCCTCTGACCCACTGGGGCCAGCAAGTGTGTCCTTGTTATCAGAAGACTCCCCCTCTGATTTACTGCGTCTTCTGGCCTTCTGCACTTGACTAACGGGAGACAAAGGCTCACTTTTGGGCTCTCTTTTAACAACCTGTGGAGATGCCCCTCCCTGTTCTTGACCCTGGTCAGAGACCTGGTCCTCATCAACAGGTTCAGCTTCTAACTCTCCCTCCTCAGCAGAATCAGACAGACACTCTGAGAGGACGTCAGGATTCGCATGGATCCTTGACCAACCACTCTGCTCACAGAACTCAGCACTCCTGCTGACTAGAATCCTGGACTGATCGCCTGCTGGATAGGCAAACCTCCACCCTTTTGTCCCAGGCTCATACCCACAAAAGATCATTTTCCAGGACCTCGGGTCACCTTTCTTGCGTTGAGCCTTTGGCACAAGCACCCAAGCTTCGCAACCAAACACATGGAAGAAATGCACCTTGGGCGGGGGAGGAGCCAACATGGCGCCGAGGTAAGACGCGCTTACCGGTGCTCTTCGGACTTCTTTTAATCTTTTTAATCTTTTATACTTTTATCTCAACTGACCCAGTCAGTTTTTGAAGTATTTTATAATTGCTGCAGCCGCATACCATGGAAACTCTTTGAGAGATTTGGCCCTGCTCCAGACTGCTGCAAGCCGCTCTTTGTTTCTCTCATATCAGCGGGCTGGCTTTAGCTGCTAAAGGAGTTGAGAACGCCATTATCTTAATTGCGTGTTAAGTGTTATGTTATTTTAAGAATCGTATAATCTCTGGCCTGAGGAAAGCATGGGTCAGAAAAAACGCTTGAGAGACTTTGACGAGCCCCTATCATCCCCTAAACCAAAACTATCAAGGTTGGTGCCACACCGGAATGGAGGAGGGAGTGACCATGCCGAGCAATGCTTTGCAGTGGAAACCCAAAATCGCTTCCAACCTCTAATTGATTTAGAAGCTACTCCGATTCCGATGACTCAAAATGTTTCAAATGTAAAGCCTGTAAAGGAGAATACGAAAGAAAAACTCTCATCGCAGGAAGATGGTTTGGCATCTGTTATGGGGAGTTCCCCAGTTGTGAGCAGTTACACTTAGTAATTAAGACCCTTCACTGTATTTTTAAAAGGCTGGACGAGGTATCTTCACAATTATCCAATATCCTGCTGAAAATCGGAAAACTTGAATCAACAACACAATCCTCAGTTTGTGAGGTCAAAAACTTATTGCCTCACCCCCATTCAGATAAAATACTGGAGACTAAAACTAAATATGTCTTAAATTCCCAATTGAACAATCAGATATTAACTTTGCAACCCAAGAAAAGTTGCCTTTCTGTCAGGTCGGAAATAGGAAGATGGTCAACGCTAGAAGGAGCTAAAGACTGCTTAAGCAAACTTTTAAAAATTAAGAAATATCAGATTGACCTATATGCTGTAATGCCCCTTCCCCGGCAGACCAACTTCTTGAAGGTGATACTTGCGTTCCACTCTGAAAAGATACCATCTATTATTGTTAGGAGGAAAACGCTTTTGTCCATGGCCGACATTGTAGCAACGAGGGTTTTTACAGACAGCAAGATCAAACCCCTTCTAAATAGGTGCCCTGGCGGTGAGGACATTAGGACAAGAGACTCTGCCTCACTTCAAAATACTGTCAGGCCCAACCGCGATGACTCTGCAGCGTGCCATCCGCGACCAAACTCGATACCCTCTCAAACTGCTATATATGAGGATGATAATCTGCAGACTGCCCTCGACGAAAGGGAACTTATTGATTCATTCAGAGCCCTTCCTCCGAAAGAACAGTCGGTGATGATGCAAAGATTTGACACGCTTAAAACTCAGCTTTTGCAAGTCCAACATAGAGGGGAAGATACTAACGATGTCTCAAATAATCCCACTTGGGCCCACCGGACAGAAGTGGTTGACCTTCTTCAGCTCAGCCCCACTCTGAATTCAAAAACCATCCGACAAGACTCAAATCTTCAAGTTGCTTCTGCAGCGTGCGCTACATCACGAGACGACCAGGCTCTGCCATCCTCACTGAACCTTCATCTATATTCATCAACCAACATACCTAAGGACGAAATTCTGATTTCCTGCTTGACTCAAATCCCTCTTTAACTCACTCATCTATGCCAGAGCTAGAATCTTCTCCAGTTTCGTCCAGATATAGAAGTAGTCCACAAGTGATGCCCCTGAGAGAGTCTTCCGCAATTTCCACCTCCGTGATGCCCCCTCAATTACCTCCTTCAAAGGAAACTGCGAATGTTACACCTCGGGACCCGCCGTCAGAAATGATTGAAGACCCGATGGGACGCATCAATAAAATAATCCGAATGTCGGATGACAAATCTGCGAGAGGGTTTACCCCGACGGACTCAATTTCCCCCTACCTGGGTATTTCTCTGCCAAGTGGTACCAAGAATTTCGAAATGAAGAGACTTCCTGTTCAGAGACCTACTTTCAGTGGATCATCCACGGTGTGCCAACAGTCGAACCAAATTGTTAAAAACTTTAATCTGCAGGGCGCCTCACAGTTACCATCTTCCCAAAGTAAAATAACTGACTTTTTGTTACATCTTCTGTCTTTAACAGTGAGTCTGCCCCCCCTCCATTTTGACTGTTAAAAGAACAACATAGAAGTCCCCAGCTAGCAGTCCTAAGTTGGAACATTGCTGGCTGGAAAAGGAAAAGATTAGATCCTGAATTTCTGTCCTATATAAACTCTTTCCAGATAATCCTTTTACAAGAAACATGGGAAGAAGATAAAATAGATATAAATGGCTTTGAACTGATATCACTTCCAGCTATCCCCTCCCAGAAAGGTGGCCGGTCCAGAGGCGGTCTTGCAATCGCCATATCGCTTAAAATGAGAGCTAAACTCTCGCTAGTTCATACCTTTCCTCCTTTTGCTTTTACTGGTCTGATTTCAAGTGAAAAATTCTCACTATTAATCACCAATGTTTATCTTCCTCCAGGTGGTCTGATATCAGACCTTCATTATAGATGGGATTCTCTGGAAGATCATTTATTGGCATGCTATGTTAAGTACCCTAATATTCCATCGATAATGGGTGGTGACTTCAATGCACGGACAGCTGCCAACTGGAATGGGATAATTAAGGCCAAGTGGTGGGTATCTCCCCCCTACCCAAAATCTGATTTAATCTCTTTCACATCAAGAAGATCTAAGGACAACAGAGTGAATGAGGCGGGAGTCCTTCTTTATCAATTGGCCATTCGTATGAATTTGAACATTCTAAATGGCAACTGCCCTCCGGACGTGCCAGGTGAATTCACTCATTTGGGCACAACATCAAATAGTGTCCTAGATTATCTTCTAGTCTCAGAAGACCTATTTTCAAATTTCTTTTATTTCAAAGTAGATAATGTACAATCCAGTGATCACCTACCTCTAGCGGCCAAGCTAACGCTTGACTGGCACCCGGTTAGCGGAACACACCCAATTCATGTAGGTTTAAATGCCACAGCTCAAGTAAGAGGCATTAAATGGTCCATGAAACAGGCCCAAAAATATGCAGAATTCTTCCAGAGGAATAGCTCCGAATCCCTTATTGTTTCATTGGCGGAGCTGTCTGAACCAAACAGGATACTGGAGTGGTTCTTCCACTTCTCTGCAGATTTAACTAGTTTCTTTACGATGCCGGCTCACCTCGCTAACCGAGATCAACCCAGGTTCGGTGCACCTTGGTTTGATGCCAAATGTAAGCAAGCTAGACTCTCTCTCTGTTGTATCTACAATAGATATAAAGCCTCTGGAGCTGAAACTCTCCCCCCAGAGTACTTGCAGGCCAAAATTGCTTACAAACAGGCTCAGAAGTCAGCCAAGCACGAGTGGCAGCTAAGACGTTGGCAAGCGCTGATTGCTGCCTCTAAGCTTCGCAGCTCTCGCGGTTTTTGGAATTTAATCAACAAAAGATCGAGGAAATACCCATTGACGGTTATCCCAGCCCCGACATGGGAACAATTTCTAAGAAAATATTTCTCCCAAACAGACATCTCTAACATCCAATCTGATACTCTCTCAAGTCACTTGCCCATATGGCCAGATACTGACCCGGAGGAAATAGTAGATTTAATTGCCAAACTGAAAACTGATAAAGCCCCAGGGCCCGATCTGATCCCGGCGGAAGCTATTAAACAACATCCAATATGGTGGGCTAAAATTCTTGCAAAAATCTTTGATGCAATCAATGCCACGGGCCAGATACCTACATCATGGAAGGAGTCCATCATAATTCCTATATATAAAAAAGGACCACCAGAGGACCCAGGAAACTATCGTAATATCAGTTTATTATCAATCATCGGAAAAATCTACACTCGCTTCTTGCTAACCAGACTAACCCAATGGGCCGAAGATTCCAATCTGATAGGCCATGAACAGGTCGGGTTTAGACCAAATCGCGCTTCTATTGACCATGCTATAATTCTATATCATTTGGCGCGGAAATATTCTTCCCCTACTCATGGTCTTCTATGTGCCGCTTTTATAGACCTGAAGGCGGCTTTTGACAGTATCTCTAGAGAGCTGTTATGGGAAAAACTGGCAAAGTGGGGCATAGAAAAAGGCTGTTGTGGCTATTGATTAAATTACATGAAGGGACGGCTGCTAGGGTGAGGTTAACACCTGAGGGCGATCTAACAAACTCAGTTCCAATAAACAAGGGGGGTACGACAAGGGTGTATCCTTGCCCCCTATCTTTTTAACCTCTATATTAGTGACATGAGGACGCCCCTAGCTGAGGCCCAAACCTCCATTCATGCACCCAGGCTTGCAGACTATCGCTGCCCCTTATTATTGTACGCTGACGATGCGGTGATCCTCTCTTATTCTCGAATCGGTTTGAGGAGGGCCCTTAAGATTTTTGCATCATATTGCCAAACAAATTTACTTACTATTAACCATTCCAAATCTAAAGTCCTAATTTTTTCCAGGAGTCGTAAACTGTATAGATGGGAACTTGAGGGGAAGCCAATTGAACAAGTTTACAAATTTCAATATCTAGGAATTTACTTCCAGTATAATATGGGATGGAAAGCGCATATCACATATTTACAAAACAAGGTGAAAGCCCTTATCTACGCTATACTACGCTTCTTCTTTACTGAGGGGCTATGCATGTTCCATCCGCCTTAAAAGTTTATAGTGCAAAAGTGGTTGCAACTATGGCCTATGCGGTCCCTTTATGGGGCGTCTTTGTAAACCTCTTGCCTCTGGTGACATTGCAAAATCTTTTCTAAGACGCCTTTTGAAACTACCCTTCTGTGTAAGCAACTCTGCCATTCGCTTAGAACTTAAGACACCCTCCCTTGAGATTCTGATGTGGAGACATGCCTTTAATTATTGGCTGTCCCTTTGGCATAAATTGCCAAACTACCATCTTATTCAGTGCCTTTGGAGAGATGAATTCACCAGCCCATGGGCAACAAAAATCCATTCCAAACTGTTGTCTTATGGAATCTCTCCTCCGATATACTTAATTTAGATCTAATTACAGCTAAAAAGGTCATCAAACAAAGATTGGAGGATGTAGATTTACAACAAAATCTTACCACAGGTGGAGGTACATGTTCCCCGATATATCAGGGCATTACATCTATGTCCCAGATACCTCGATATCTGTCTACTTTATCGGCTGCGTCGCATAGATTCGCATTTGTTAGAGCCAGATTTAATGTGTTCCCCTCAAATGTGCTGAGCAATAGATTTTCTAACGGTAAAATCTCTGTTTTGTGCGCATGTGACAACAAATCGATAGAATCCCTTTATCATATCTTGTTTAATTGCCCCTTATACAATGTTCCCCGATCAAGGATCCTGAGTTCAATCATCCTGGAAATTGCTGCTAAACCACCTGAATTACATCTAGCTTATCTACTCCAGGACATTGACTCTTATAGAACTTTACAGGTTGCTAGATTCCTGATCTCAGTTCTGTCATATAAAAGACTTCAGGGAATGCTGCATGACTATTAAAATTCAGTAAACTCTATGCACCATCTTTATCTTCAAGGCCATAACACGGTACATTTAGAGATTATGCGTTGAAATATTTTAGTTGATATTTTAGATTGTAAAATGCTATTGATTTTATCTATTGATTTTTATCTATTGATTTGTTTTACCTTGTGGGCTTATAGCCGAATAAAGTATTATCTATCTATCTATCTATGCACCTTGGGCTTCTTCCGGTGCAGCAGAAAATAGGGTGTCTCTCCTACAACAGAGCTATAGGACCTGTTCAAAGTGAAGCTGGCAGCTTTCCAAGCTTCGGCCCAAAAGCTCTGAGGCAAACCAGAGTCAAACAGTAGAGCGTCAGCTGCCTCAGCTAGCGTTTTGTTCCTGCGCTCCGCTACGCCATTCTCCTGAGGAGAAAAAGCAACCGTCAACCTGTGACTTATCCTCTTCTGGCGGAAGAAACTCTGCAGAGCAGACCCAGTGAACTCTCCACCTCGGTCGCTCTGAAAGCTCTGCACCTTGGTGGAAAACTGTAGTTCCACCGCCGCAACCCAGTCTTTGATCAGTTGCGCCGCCTCGCTTTTCTGTTTCAGTGAGAAGATCCAGCCGTTCCTCGAAAAATCATCTGTCAGCATGAGCGCATACCTGGCTCCACCCAGACTCGGCACTGGCATGGGTCCACAAAGGTCTGTATGCACAAGCTCAAAAGGCCTTGTGGTTACCCTCTCCGATCTGGGATAACTGCACCTTTTTATCTTTGCTCTTTTGCATGCCCTACAATCCAAGAATCTATCACATGCTTTCATCTTGCAACCCTCAGTGCATTCTGGTAACTTCTGGATATATTTCCAACAGCTATGCAACATTCTCCTGTGCCACAAGTGAGCACACGAATCATGTGTGGGAACGTTAGCACACCGCGCCTGTGCTGTCTCAGCATTCCCCTTACCCTCCAGAGGTGTCTCCAGAACAAAGAGGTTGTTCTGACATGCAACATTGACCAGTTGTTTCCCACCCCTGGAAATAGAACAGACATCATTTTCAAAGCAAACCTTATAACCCTCCTTTACAAGAGCAGATACAGATAAAAGACAACACTTCATTCCTGGCACAATGTAGACTTCCAGCTCTGCCTTTA